GAATTCCTGTCCACGAAGGGTGACTGTGTTCTGGTGCACTGGCAACTGCTCCTGCCGGCCAAAGCGGAGGATGACGGTCCGTTGTTGCCTCATCAGTCAGGAATTCGTGTTGGAGCTGACTGGAGGACGAGCGTCATCGACGCAGAAGCGACAGACGATCAAACCGAGGAGGCTGAAGCGGTCGCTGGACAACACTTCCTGAACTCCCCGCAGCCCCAACTGCTGATGATCCCGCCACAAGGTGGTGGCGTCTTCTGGGTGCTTTTCAGAGATCTGGCGAACAATCAGGATTTAACAAGTGCGAGCCATGCGTCTGCCAAAGCTGTCTTCTTCTTTAGGCCGAGGCTGGGTTTAAATATAGAGAAGTTGCATTTCATTATGATTTCTCGTTTACATTCCTTTCATTCCGTTTGGAAAGGCGGTTGGACGGAATTCGTTGATTGGCCTCACCAGTGCCTGGCGGATGCTCATAACATATAGTTTCACGCTCTGCCGATGTCTGACACGGAGAGGCCAGTTTACTAATCCCTTCCATTTGCCCTTTCAAACGAAATGGCTGAGTTTTGTTTACCCTCCCGCATATACAGTAATTTGAAAATGAATAAGCACATTCCAAACCTCACATTGCGGTTTTGCGAGTGGCTGAACACAAAAGTGTATGTTGGGTTGAACAATCCGAGATAGTGAAACACACTACAGAAATTGTACAGGAAATAGAATGGTCTCAAATCAGTCGTTTTTCTGATTATACTATGCCTGCAGCTAGGCGCTAAATTAGAGTGACTATCGAACTCACAAGATTAGACAATATATCGAATATCAGGAATGCAAGCAGGAAGTTAGCTAAGAACTACTTGTGCCTAATTGACAGACTTAAGGATAAAGAGGATGTTAGATCTCCTTGAAAGAGGTGACTTGACTAGTCTTTTGTTGGTCATGATTCTAAGTAGGGTCATACTTTATATACATTTGAATTCACCAGACGTGTGTCTAGCGCTACACAATAGGAGGGAGAGTTTAAAAAAGTGTCATTATAACTTGACGACAAGGGTGAGGGATTACAAGCTGTCTTAATTTCCTGGAGCTATCACTGCTAGTTTCGTATCTTTACATCTACGTTAACTTACATTGCACACACTGGTATATACATGCGCCGGCCTCTAGAGAGACATATTAGAGGGCCTAACTTGCTCGCTCTACATATCAGAAAACGAGGTCAGACTAACTCTATACAGCGGAAGGCGACTGTGGCTAAAGTAGTAACTACACCATCTTGGTATCTTTGCCTACAATTATACACTTTTCTAGGTCTGAACCTTTTCCAGTGAGGTAGATGTTGTTTTGAATGGTAACGAAAATGCAGTCAGCATTAAATTGATAGCGACAGATAAAAATTATTCTGGGTCGCTCCTCTATTTTTTAGGGCATGTTATATCGTACCTTGAACCTGAACTCGATCAGATATTTCTTTGTGAGGAAAAACCAGACCCCAATGTGTATTATTGAGTCGTAGGACAGCTGATAATCGTTGAATTTGGTGAAACATTGTTTTTTAAGGGAAAAACTCCTTCAACCAAAGGGAACCGGGTCTTTAAGTTACCCTCGGCAATCTGGGTGAAAATAACTCTTATTTTAGTGATAGCCCTCGCCTGGCCATGATTGGCTGCT